TATATATATATATATATATATATATATATATATATATATATATATATATATATATTAGTGTAGTACAGTAATATATAATATATTAAATACTTATATATATATTATTACAGTATATTATATACATTATGTATACAGTATATTATATATATTAGTATACAGTATTTTAGTAGCAGTCTTTCTTGTAACATATGTTGTTGAATATGGCTGAAAAGGTAAGATTAATGATTCTAACATGAATCTTCTCAATATTTCTTATGTTTTTCTTCACTGTCAAGAATTATTGAAAAATTAACTCTCCAAAGTTCATTTTCACACTTTATTTATGGTCTGATGCCTAGAAGCATTATGCAAGACACTTCTTACATTTTCATAGACAATTTAAAATACTCTTTTTTTTTCATGTTTTTTTTGGGTGAGGTGATAGGACACAAATGTTTCTGGGCAAAGTGACAGGACACAAATCAATGGGGAAAAGACAATTTTACATACTCTGTTAATTTTTTGTTTTGGGGTGAGGTGACAAAACACGAATCAATGGGTACATTGCATGTTTTGTCTTCTTGCTTCTGTGTTGGTTCGGAGTCTTGAAGTGGGTAGAATGTAATTATGTGTTAATTGGCTTTTCATTGCTGGTGTTGAGTGCCCAGCGGAGAGAGAACCTCGCATCCTAGGGAACCAAAACCCGGATGACCCTGCACTTTTCCCAGATGGCATCACAATATACCCCTTGTTGTTTCCCCTGTGGTTTCCAACCACAGGGAAACAACAAAATCAATCAAGTACAGTCGACTGGAAGGTCAATACCCCTTTGTTCCCATAGCATTCCCTTTGTTCCATTTTTGAGCCAACTCTTTTTGTCATGTAAATCAATGACATAGATGAGAATATTACAAACCACATCATCAAATTTGCAGATGACACAAATATCTATAGAAAAGTGGGAAGTGGTGATATTGAGACCCCTGCAAAGAGATCTACATGAACTCCACAAATGGTTAGATGTCTGGCAAATGCTTTTTAATGTCAATAAATGCAAGACCTGCATGTGGGGCACAATAATCCATGTCACAACTACCAAATTGACAGCACTACCTTACAACAGATAAATAAAGAAAAGAACCTTGGAGTCAGAATCCATCATTCACTAAAAGTTGCACAACAGGTGGGAGCGGCAGTAAAAAAAAAGCAAACCAAACCCTGGAAATAATCAAGCGTACCTTTACCTTCTAGGAAAAGAAAGTAGTCTTTCAGTTGTTTAAGTCTCTGGTCCAATCTCACCTGGATTATAGCATTCAGGCATGGAGACTTGATCTTCAGAAAGACACAGCTGCTCTGGAAAAGATGCAACACCGGGCAACAAAAATCATTCCAGATTTAAGTCAAAAAACGTATCAGGAATGGTTGAGGGCCACAGGGGCTAACAACACTGTATGCCAGGCATGAGAGGGCAGATCTCATTGAAACTTTTAAAATACTGAACAATTTGGAGGATGTTGATCTGGAAAATTTCTTCAAAAAGGTTAAATGTATCACAAACAAGGAGCAATGGTTTGAAGCTTGTAACGTACGATTATGTTACGTTGTTGGGTTGATTAGATACGCAGTGTTTAGTGAGTTTCATATTTATTTAGTAGTCCTGGATACAGCAGTGTCGTAGACGTTGAGATGAAGCCTGGAGCAGAGCAGAGAGCTGAGTGAGGCCGGAGTCATGGAGCTCTATGCGGGAGAGCGTGGCGGCTCGATTGAGAATTGCGAGTGTCTGAACTCGGGGAGTGAGAGCGTTGTAGCTGGATGCAGTCGTAGTTTGCTGTCTGCTCTGTGTCGAAGCTGTAGCGTCTTGGGTCGATTAGAACTGCCCACGCCGAGTACTACATTCTTGACTGGAGATTGTACTGGTTTGCTATTCTCAAATCGCTGGCTTATATACGGTTACTACACCTCACACTAAGATAGGAGGGTGGAAAAACCGTTACCTGTAAATAGGGATAGGATTATAGCTTGTGTAATTAGTTATGCCATTAAGATGATGAGATAATGGAGCGAGTATAGATTTACTCGCTACAAGCTCAACAAGCCACAATGTAGTACAGTACTGAGAACAGGAGATGCTTTTTCACCCACAGGGTTATTAAGGGGCATCAGTTCCAAATATGCCAAAGATATGCAATAAATGAAAACTAGTTTGATTTCAATCAAACTTTTTTGACTAGTTGTATATGAAAAGGGATTCATCTGGTCCGAGTCTCAGCATTGTAGCATAAATAGGAAGGGAGAGAAAAATATTGAATTATGTGTCATCAATTTTCAAAAATGGTCAAAAATTAACATCAAACACAAGTGTCAACTGAAATCATGTCTATGACTCCCAGCTATCACAATAGCATATAATAAAAATATTTAATAATTAGTTTTATCCAAAAAAAATAGTTGAAAAATAATTAGATTTTTCTTTTTTTTTCCGTTTTTTTTTCTTATTTGTTTATCGGATGATTTGCATGAAACTTATATACCTGACTGCACGTAAGCCTATCTGTAAGGGTGCCAATTTTGGAGGAAATTGGTTGATGTCAACCTTAGCCACAGATGGCAATGCCTTAGACTTTATTTTTTACTTATTTATTTTCAAGTAACATAAACATTCTTATAACTCTTTCATTTTTTATTCAATTTACATGAAACTTACACCTTATATGTAGAGTCTCATGTTTCTATAATCAGATTCGAGCTTTTTTCTCCTAAGTTCATTTATTGATTTTATAATAGTAACGAAACATGATATATTTGCATAATTTTTGGGGAACTTTGACCATTTGTATTAGTAAAACTAAACATATTTTGGAAAATCGCTGAATCACTTCCTTTATTATATGCTAATGTGATAGAGTGTCATAGAAATGATTTCATTGAAACTTTTGGTTGTTATTAGAGGTTGAAAATGTGTAACAGTCGTTGAAAAAAAACTTCTCCCTTTCTATTTAGGCTGCAATACTGAAACTCGGAACAATTGCAACCAAAGATTTGTTGACATTGAACAAAGTTTAAAAAACTAACTGATGGCCGTTTAACCCATGGAACTGCCTACTCGCCAAAGCCGTAAATACCTAACAACTGTTAACTTTTAAAGTACTGCTGGAAAAGATCATAAAGACAAATGGTGGTAGGGGGGGGGACCTTTGACAAGCCTCTGGCTTCCTGTCACTTACTGGTAAATTAGGTAAGTGACTTTAATAGCTATACTTGTAAACCTTTTTTTACATATATAGGAGCACATGCACCTGTAATAGAATACACTACTGTGACTCTTGGTCATGTTGACACTACAGTATTATCACTCTTGGTCATGTTGTCACCATACACTACTGTAACTTGGTCATGTTGACACTATACACTATTATCACCTTTGGTCATGTTAACACTGTACAAAATACTGTGACTTGGTCATATTGACAGTTTGCACTATTGTGACATTTGTCATGTTGACACATACACTACTTTTACTCTTGGTTATATTGACACATACACTACTATACTTTTACTCTTGGTTATATTGACACATACACTACTTTTACTCTTGGTTATATTGACACATACACTACTTTTACTCTTGGTTATGTTGACACATACACTACTTTTACTCTTGGTTATATTGACACATACACTACTGTACTTTTACTCTTGGTTATATTGACACATACACTACTTTTACTCTTGGTTATATTGACACATACACTACTGTACTTTTACTCTTGGTTATATTGACACATACACTACTTTTACTCTTGGTCATGTTGATAATGCACACTACTGTGACTTGGTAACGTTGAAACTATTCACCATTGACCACTCTTGGTCATGATGACACTATACACTACTTTCGCACCCGTGTCCCGTTTGTGTCCAAAAGTGCGTCCTATTTCCGTAGTTTTCTTCATCCTGCCTCCGTGCTTCCTGCCCAAGAGACATCTGCTGGGATGACTTTGCAGCCGAGTTGAATTGTATCTATTTTTATTCCTAGTTTTCTTCCGTATGATTTGTGTTCCAAATTTGGCCTTTGTTAGCAACTAAGTAGGATAGCTCGGAGGTAAGTCTAAAATTTAAATGTACAGGTACTGTAGTACAGTATTCTGTATTTAAAATTCCTTGTTGAAACAAGACACTTGGAAGCTCTCATTCTCATTCACCTTGTGCATGAAGTTTTCATTTTGGCAGAAAATATGTAGGAAGGCAGGGAACCCTGTCAGGGAACCCTGTTTTGGTGTCTGTGGTATGGCCTGGTGGGCTAATTGGGAATTAGCAAGAGTACTGTTTGGCAGCCCTGTAATGTAAAGTAGTGCTTGGAAAGTCTTTGAGTGTTTATGAAGGAAACTTCTGGAGGTCATTCCAGACTGGACATTGAATTTCTTCAGGGCTTTCCCCCCCCCCCCTTCCCCCTAGCATAAGTATGACTCAACAAGGATATTTTAAAAGATCCCTGATGCATGTATGCAGATTTGTCACTCTGCCTCGATTGCATGATCCTGATCCAACCCGTCCTCTTAAAAAGAACGTCACTTTTGGCTCGTATGCGTGCTATGGCCAAATCTGGACGTAATTTGAAATGAAATCGACTCACAAAAGTGATGTACTGTTCCGTTTTCTGTTTGAGTCGTCTGGCTTACTCTGCAAGGTTAAAAGAGGCAACTTTCCATTAACGTTTTTCATAACGTTTTGAAACTTTATGAGAATTTCCTGCCCACCTAACCTATCAGAGGACCCTTAACTTACTGTTGTTGAAAAAAAAAAATCCCAAATTTAATTTCATTTTTTTTTCATTTTCAAATTACGTCCATATTCGGCCATACGGGCAATCGGCCAAAAGTGACGTTCTTTTTAAGAGGACAGGTTGCCTGATCAATGGAACCAAAAAGGATCCTGCCATAGGGAACATCTTAGGCACTTTTCATATACATTACTCAATACTAAAAGCCATACAGTATTTTAAAATATTTTTTTCTTTTCAGGTTTTTTAAGCAAGAGAGGTTTGTGTTTTGGGGGGGGGGAGGGGACAGCCCCTGGTGATGAGCTCACTTGCCCTCAGTATAAGTGCCACAACAGCAGTAAACATCAAGTAACGAGAAGACTACAAACTACTAAAGCAAGATCTAATAATTTACAATCTTTCTTTTTAATTCGACAGTAGAAACGTATTGTATTAATCCACCACCATCCATCACTGAGGCTGCAGGTCAGTAAAATTACTACAAAATGTAATTTTGAAGTACTGTATGTGATAATGTTAGTACATGTGCAGATACAATGTTGCCTATAAGTATTTGGATAGTGATACAGTGTTTATTGTTTTGGCTCTACTCCTACACATTAGATTTTTTAATTTAACAATTCTTACGAGGTTTAAGCACAGCCTTCCGACTTTAATTTAATGGTTTTACATTAGTATCAGGTGAACTGTGTAGGAATTACATGATTTTTTATATATAGTTCCCCCATTTTAAGGGACAAAAACTAATTGAACACATTAATTTATTCATTCATAAAGTAGTCATATTAATGACTTTCTTGTGAATTCTTTGTATGAGATATCTCACTGAGATGGCTGTCCCCTACTGAGTCACATCAGCTGTAAGTCCTGTATGGCTTACCAAGTACCAGAGCCAGAATTTCCCCCCCCCCCCCCTCACTCCTCACAGAGGTACAGGAAGTAGGGGAGTGTTATGATCACCTTCCCTGAAAAAACATCCAGTCCCAGAACCTCAGGGAAATAGAAACATGCCAGTACTGTACTGTATGTGGCTGCAGATGCCTTGTTGGGGACCGGGCCATGGGGACCTTGAACACCGGAGCCACTGCAAGGTAGGCAGCTTCGAGAGTGCGAGAACATACCGCAGGCCCGCTGAAACAATAATAGGGACCAGGAACAACTGAGCATCCCACCAAAGAGGCGAAGAAAACTCTACCAAGCACATCATGACGATGGCATGAAGCCAAGGGGAGGGCCCCCCTGACCCACCACCCTAAACCGAGAGGGGAGAGGTGCGAGAACCAGAGATATAACCCAGAAAGCACACCAAAAAATCACAGGTAAATTACCAGGGCCTGAAGGAACATTCGAGCAGAACACCCAGGCATTAGGGATGCTTACAGAAAGAGCTGACACTGGACACAGTCTTCAGGATAAATACAGTAATAAATGCATCAGCAGCATGCTGTATGACAATCCCAGTAATAACTAGAAGGGAGGGGCTTGACCACATTTCTGAGTGAATCGTTTAAAAATTTATTTGGCTGTTTCAGTACAGTACTTCATTTTCTATGAACTTTGCAGTTGATTGTATTGCTTCATTTACTCTCCGGATGTTTTTGGGTGATGGTGATCACAAGTCTCCTACTTCCTGTTCCTCTGTGAAGGGTAGGGGCCAGGTATTGGCTTTGGTCCCTGGTAGGCCTTACAGGACTCCTATGGCTGATGTGAATCAGTAGAGGGAAGTCATCAAAGATTCCTTCAGGGAGCCACTGAGATGAAGTGTGAATACACTTCAAAAGCAGTTCGTTTAATTACACAAAGCTACCCAAATATATTCAAAGCTTCCTAGCATTATGTAAGTAATGAAGAAATATGATATATTTACTCACTATAATGATGGTGCTGAATGTAGAACATGAAAAAACTTATTTTTTCTCAGAAATAATATCATTTTATAACGAAATTAGACGAATCTAGTCTAAGAAACGAAAGTCTCCGTGGTGTAGTGGTAAGACACTCGCCTGGCGTTCCGTGAGCGCTTTGTCATGGGTTCGTATCCTGGCCGGGGAGGATTTACTGGGCGCAAATTCTTAACTGTAGCCTCTGTTTAACTCAACAGTAAAATGGGTACTTGGTTGTAAAAACGATTCTTCGTGGGGGGTCATATTCCAGGGACTTGCCCGGAACGCTACACGTACTAGTAGCTGTATAAGAATGGAACAACTCTTGTATATATCTCAAAAATAAAAAAAATCTAAGTGGCAGGTGACACCACAGGAAGTCGACGCTCCAAGCAACATTGTTGTGGCTTTGGGTAATTAGATGGACTCAATTTCATTATAAAATTATATTTCAGAATAAAAAATGTTTTTCATGTTGTACATTAAGCACCAACATTATAGTGAGTAAATATATTATAGTTATTCATTACTTACTTAATGCTAGGAAGTGTTGGGTAGCTTTGAGTAGCTTTGGGTAATTACCTAAACCCCCCCTTCAAAAGTGTATTTTGATGCAATATAAAAGTGTGAAGTGAATACCAGAAAGAGGTGTTTCATTACATTCAATGCTGGTTTTTTTCCTTCAATCTTATCGATAGTGAAATGCATGCTTAGTTGGATTCAGAGTTAGTAATTGACCTGGTGATTGGTCAAGAGCATTCCACTTTTTGGCCCTAAAAGCTCCTTGGTTGCTTTAGTCATTGCCTTCTTGTTTGATTGTTTGAGTCATTGCCCTATTGCATGGTAAAGTACCATCCAATAAGATTTGTGCATTTAGTTGGATTTGGTGAACCTCAGAAGTTATCTTGCAGCTGCCATCAGCAATCACATTATCAATAAAGACAAGTGTGTCAGCTCCAGTGGCAACCATACATGCCCAAGCCATAATACTACTTCTATCATGTTTCACAATTTGCTTCTTTCCATCACTAGTACAGGGTTATGCTTATGTCTCATCTGACCATAAGACTTTGTTCTAGAACTCCACAGATTTGTTATGTACTTTATAGCAAAATGTATCCTTTTTATTTATTTATATATATTATTTTATTTATGTATTTATTTATTTACAAGACAGTACAATGGGTTTGTGAGAGTACTTCTTATGTGGTGCTTCGTGGGTTCTATTACACCTATCAAGAAAAAGTTTCAAATGAAGAATAGCATTTGGGAACAAGGTTTTGTACATGTAACTAGCACAAGAGAATGTGTGGAGTGAGTGTATGTTTAGCATGTTTAGGAACTTAAACAGAGGCACTGTGTGTGTTGTCTGAAGAGGGCTTGTTATCATAGATTCATTTATGAACATTTTGACACTAAATTTACAGTAATAATACAAAATAACCTGAGGAAAAAATCAAGTATAAACATTTTCAGTGTTACTGAGTGAGATCCTGAGATGCGCAGAATGTTTAAGGTCAGGAAAATGCTGATGGGTCGGAAAACCTGAGAGTTGACAACGTACAAAAAATATATTTTGACAATGTTTTGGCAATGTCTGTGATTGTTATATAACTGATGATCACATAACTGTGATCATCAGTTATATTCTGATTTGTCTGCCTCATGATCACCTGCTTTACTGGCATTGATTCTTCATTTGTCCTTATGTTGAGAGAGACAGCAGCAAGACATCAAATGCATGCCTAAAATTAACTGTCCTGTGCATAAACTAATGATTTAATGGCACACAATTGCAATGTGATGAGGATGGCAAACTTTGGTCAATAAGACAAGACCTCTCAAAGGAGGAGAAAAGAAAGAGAAAAGCTTTTTCAGCTTTTCAGAGAAAAGCTGAAAATGAACCTCATTGAAGCAAAATGTCTGAATGGGGATAGAAATGAAGAAGACAGAAATTCTTTTTTTCTACAAAGTGTCAGGGACTGGAAAGCTTGAGAAATGGTACATAAAAACAAGGCAACAAAATCAGTAGTGGAAGGGAGCAGAGTACCACAGGGTTCAGTTCTTGCACCAGTAATGTTCATTGTCTACATAAACGATCTACCAGATGGAATACAGAATTATATGAACATGTTTGCTGATAGGTAATAGGGAAGATAAGTAACTTAGATGATTGTCATACCCTTCAAGAAGACATGGACAGAATATGCATATGGAGCACCACTTGGCAAATGGAATTTAATGTGAATAAATGCCATGTTATGGAATATGGAATAGGAGAACATAGACCCCACACAATTTATAAATTATGTGAGAAATCTTTAAAGAATTCTGATAAAGAAAGAGATCTATGGGTGGTTCTAGATAGAAAACTATCACCTGAGGATCACATAAAGAACGTTGTGCGAGGAGCACATCAACAAACTGGAAAAGGTGCAAAGACATGCTACTAAGTGACTCCCAGAACTGAAAGGCAAGAGCTATGAGGAGAGGTTAGAGGCATTAAATATGCCAAACTAAAAGACAGAAGAAGAAGAAAAAAGAGGTGATATGATCACTACATACAAAATAGTAACAGGAATTGATAAAATTGATAGGGATGATTTCCTGAAACCTGGAACTTAAAGAACAAGAGGTCATAGATTTAAACTAACTAAACAAAGATGCCGAAGAAACATAAGAAAATTCACTTTCGCAAACAGAGTGGTAGACGGTTGGAACAAGTTAGGTGAGAAGGTGGTGGAGGCCAAAACTGTCAGTAACTTCAAAACGTTATATAACAAAGAGTGCTGGGAAGACGGGACACCACGAGTGTAGCTCTCATCCTGTAACTACACTTAGGTAATTACACTTAGGTAATTACACTCACTCACACATCAAAACAAAATCAAAACAACAAAATCAATATATCAAAACAGAGCTGCAGGGCCAGAAAACAGGATTGGTTCAATAGAAATTGCGAAAGGACCATAGACCAATAGACAACAAAAATGGAATCAATATAGGAAAAGGCCAAACCCCCAAACATACCAGTGATACAAAGATGCGAGAAATAACTATACGGCAGTAAGGAGAGAGGCAGAAAGAAATTTTGAAAAAGGGATAGCGGATAAATGTAAAACAGAACTGGGCCTATTCTACAAATTCATAAACAAATTGCAGGTAAAGGATAATATCCAGAGGTTGAAAATGGGAAACAGATTCACAGAAAATTTAAAGGAAATGTGTGAAACATTAAACAAAAATTTCCAAAGTGTGTTTCTACAAAATTAAATCTTCAGAGAACCACACACAATAAGAATTCCAGAGAACAACATGGAAGGGTATAGAGGTGTCTAGAGATGAAGTGGAAAATATGCTAAAGGAGCTAAGTAAGAACAAAGCAGTTGACCCAGATGGAGTTTCACCATGGGTTCTGAGAGAATGTGCATCTGAGCTCAGCATTTCCACTTCACCTGATCTTTCAGGCATCTCTGTGTACAGGAGTCGTAGCAGATGTGTGGAAAAAGGCTAACATAGTTCCAATCTACAAAAGTGGCAGCAGGGAAGACCCCCCTCAATTATAGACCTGTATCATTGACA